CTTTAAAAAGTGCATTTTAATTAAATGAATGTCAGAAATTTATGCCACAGTCTTTTTTGAATCATTGCTGCGGTCCGACTGCTTCAATGAAGTCCAGGCATAAAATAATGCAATTGTAATTATTGCAGAGCAGAACTGCTGCACGTGCTGCCCAGGGCATGGTCAGGATTTCTGGATCACGTTTTACCAACACGCACAACAGAGTTGAGTGCCCGTGCAGCTGGTGTTACTAGAGCTGAGCTGTTTGCCTTTGAGTTTGCCTTTGCCTTGGCTAAGTGCATTCTCCTGTAGAGCAGACGCTCAGATAAAATGCAAAGCTTCAGCCGCTAATGCTCAGCTGAGTTATCAATTGATATGCGAACATGTTTATTGAGCGGAATGATTGACGCGAAAATGCGCTCCAAGGTGGCAGAAAATAAATGGAAAATATTTGACAAATTCGCAAAGCTGATGTGGAAGGCAGTGGATTATAAGTGATTTACGTTAGATAATGTATTAAAGAATTTTTGTATGGCGGAAAGTGTTGAAGGTGAGAAATCGGAATAGGATTGTTTTATTTAAAGGCAGAGCTGGCCGATCTGGCAAATAAAAAAGCTCATCGAGCTAGCGATAATAATAATAATAAAAACCTAGACACTTGGTTGTTTAAGTTATTAATCAATCTAATTTTAAGATATCCTTTTCAATCTCGTTTATTATAAATAAATATAGAAAACAGAGATGAACATTTTTGAATTCATTAATTAATAAATATAATAAATGTATCCAAAATTGAACAGATGATGTTATAAAAAATATATTGTTCCATAAATTTTGCTTTAAACCATTTATAATTAAAACAAGAGCGTCTAAGATCTACTTTTTAATAATATTAAAAATAAATTTAAATATTAAATATTTGTTATATATTTTTTTTTATCATATTACTTTTTTTATATTTTTTAAAATTGTTTTAATAAGCTTTAAAAATTTTTTAGCAGCAGCTTTAATCGAGCTTTATCTGCCATTGTATATTATAGCATCGATTTACATTTGATTATAATAGAAATAGAAAATTGTACTCATTTATTATGAATAGTATATGTATATATTGACTTTTATTTCATTGGAAAATTTCTCCATATGTATTAAATATTTAAAACGTAATTCAATTGCTTGGACACATGCTCAAAAAGAGAAATTAAATTTGCTATGCATTTAGATTCGATTTTAAATTTGCTTGCCGAAAAATCTCATAAGAAATCAGCTTCATTGTAACTCCTAGTCAAACGCCTTTGACTAGAGCACTCACATCATGTTCTAGTTGGTGTTAGGGCATTTGCATCACAATTCACAGAGAGTGGTGAAGAAATAGAGTTGTAAGAGCAAGTGAATGCTCAACATACTCTTGTATATGGCAATAAAATGGAAGTTAGCTGGAAATTTGAGGAGGTTGATTGTGGGGCCAGAATCAGAAGGAAAGAAGACCACGACCAATAATAGTTGATTGAAGATTTTGTAAATACCTTAAAGTAATTAGATGTCATTGCTATCAAGTTAAAGTTCACATTGAATTGCCAAAAAAATGTATTCTTATATTATTTATTAATAAATTATTTTTATTTATTAAATATTTATTTATCTCAAGACAACTTTTAGGTTAAGTCTGTTGAGTTGAAGTCTCAGTAAGCAGCAATATAATCATTTAATTTATTTCTTTTATGAACTGTCCTCTTTTAAGCTCGTTCCTTAATATTCAAATACTTCAATCAAGATTAACAAATTCTTATGTAAATACAATCAATCTATCAATCCACATTTCGATACTTCTTCCAAATACTCTCGAATGTCAAATCGTCAAAATCTTTGTCAAATATCCATTAGGCAATACTCATGTATTATTTTCCAAACATTCAATTTGCGGCAATCAAATATCTAAACGACTTTTCAAAGGTAAACAAAAACATTTCAACATTCTTGCACATTTAATGAACACATCTCCCCAAGATCCCCGAGCAGTTGAAGAAGCAGAAGAATGTAACAAATAGATACAAATAGATGCACTGCTGTGGCCAGACACATAATGACACACAAAATGCATGGGAGATGGCGAGAGAGAGAGAGAGAGAGAGGACGCTTAAGTAAACTTGATGGAAGACCAAATGGGTGGGGGACCATCAACTTGACTTGTGGGTCAACTAACAAATCCCCAAACCAATTCAATAAAAGCTATAGACCAAAGCGTTAAGCTCGACAAACGGACGAGCACTGCGGGAGGCCAACGCAAAAAAAAAAAAATAGAAAAAATCTGGAAAATTCAATTAATTTAAATGCAGTTTTTGTTAGGCTGTGTTGTGTCATGCCGTACTATGGGTATTATACACACATACACTAACACACGCACATACATTTACATAAACAGATTTTTCTTGCGAACTGTAGAATGGGGTAAAAAGCTAAGCGCATCACTTTACAATGTAAATCTCAAGCGTGCGATGCCCATCATTTTTTTTTATTCCTCCTTCTTCTTTTTTATTATAGTATATATTTTTTTTATACTTGAGTCTGCTTTGCATTTGCCTATTCGAGAGTTGTTTTGTAACGCGGCTGTCGAAAAATGTACCGAAAACAAGCGACGTTGCTGCAGTTGGGTGTTCTCGACTGCAGAATACCCATTCACGGCACGAAAGCTTTCATTTGCCACGCCCAGAATTAATATATTTATTATAGATTTATATATTTATTATAGCTTTAAATTTGTAATTGATTTGCCACCTCCCCATAGGCGTAAGTATATTCATATTACATCGTCTGTTGACTATTAACCCGAGTATAAATTTGTATATTCAAAATTTCAACCCTCTAGCCTCAACTACCAAGATTTCTAAGATGGCGGATTGGGAAAATCTAGACACTCTATAAGTCGCTAGTTTTAATACCGCGTAAATGGTTTGCATACCACACAAAACCAATATACTCCTTTCACTTTCCTGACAGAGTATAATAAGTAAAACCAAGAGAAAACTGAGAACTTGGCCAAGAGGAAAAATAAAGTGTCAGAATTCAACAAAAACTTGCTCTGCTCGAGTTTAAAGGAACTAAATGCAAAATATGTGATTCTCGCGTTATAAAATAAAAAATTCTATATAGTTAAATATACATATATAAAAGATTTTTTTCCATCAAATCTAAACTTGAACAGTCTATTACAACATTAAATTGCAGCTTAAGTGCATCTGATCACACTCATAAATTACGGCAACCACACGGCCAAAGCCGTGGGGGAAAGCTGAAATCTTTGTTAATGATTTGCCCGGTTGACCAGAATCGCATTCGGTTTCATTTGCAACAGCTCACATACATATATTTACCACATATTTACTGACTGAGCTATTATCAGATTTCTAGCTCCCATAATGAGCAAATTTATTCACATTTATTTCCATTTTTTTCCGCTGCCTATTTTATTTTATTTTTTTGTGCATTTCATATTTGTGGTTTTTGCATTTAGTGCTTGGGGTCCGCGTGCGGGTCGACCGCATTCGCAATTGATTTTTAATGCATTTGGGGTTTGTTTCATGGCTGTAAATAGTTTTAATTGGGCATTTGTCAGCTTTGGTGGCTCAACTGTCTTCAATTTTAAATTAGCATTCGCATTTTGTTTATTTTGACACTCTAATTGGCTGTCGGAAAATGTTGACAAATATGGGAATGCATTTAAAACATTTATTTGCTATTTACATTACTCGATTTGTAATTCGATTGCGATGATAAACAGTAAAATTAGCTTATTTAAAACCAATATAAATGACTTTACAGTAATTTAGGCAGTTTAAATATTACGCATACGCCATGTGTGTCATTTTAATTTTAAGAATTTCTTGTACATTTTATTATTGTATAACAAGTTATATATTTAATTATTTTACCACAAATCTTTTGCATATTTTATTTCAAGTAACTTTCTCAAACATATTACGCATACGTCACATGGCCTTCATAATTTATTGAGCAATTCGCTCTCAATAAAAATATTTATTGCAATTTATTGCAATTAATTTTCAGCACTTGGTTTCGATTTATTAATACATTACGAACTGCTTCCTTCACTGAGTTTTTCAATTAATTTTTCAATCAAGCGCCACTGTCGCCTTTCAATCCACTGCTAATCACCTAAAAGTACACAGCAAATAAACAGATATATATATATATTCAATATATATATATATATATATATCTACTTTTTTATTTGCAGCGCCAGCGGCTAAAATACATCAGCCACAACAATCGGTATTGACAACAAACAAGCAAACAGATAACGGAATCAAAGTGGAAAACGAGTCGTTAATGCGCCGCCCGCTTAGTGTGAGAATTGGACACAGAAATACGTCGAGACGCGCCAAGCGCGCAACGCCAACTGAAACGACATTAAAACCCAAGCGTTGGCCAAGATTCAATTGTGCAGCTGGGTACATGAGCAGAGGATATGCCGACAGCATAAAACACCAACACACTCGCACACACACACACACACACGCACAGAGCTGCGGGGCAACACATTCACGGACATGCAAAAGGCGCAAAATCAGTGACGCCCTGCCACAGCGGGCTAAATCATGGCTGAAATCCATTAACACTGCAGCAACGGGAGTAGATGGCATTCTTCATGACTCTGTGTGTGTGTGTGTGTGTTTGTGTGGGTGGCTTCATTCATAAATGTGACTCGCTTTGGCTACTGTTTACGTTTCAGCTTCTGCGCATGCGCATCGCCAAGCACGTGCGCTTTGTTATGACGCGCCAAATGTTTGCTGGCACCTGTTGCGATTCCATGGAATGTGGAGTATGCCCCCCTCCCCGCCCTGCTGAGCAAGAGTTGGCCTGACAAGCCAATTATTCAATTTCTGTAGACAGCTCACATTTTTGGGCATAACAACTTAATTATATAATTGACAAGAACTGCATTTTTTGGGCAGCTATAAAAGCCTGGCTGAGCTGCGCTCCACCAGCCAGTGCAGTTCAAGATGGCCAATTTGGCATTATATAATTTTATTGTACACAACTTGCTGCAAATCAATTTGAGCAATGTGCTCATATTTCATTGTTGGCACCCGCCAGGTAAATGATTATATAAACGTTGATTAATTAATGCAGAAATACATATATATAGTCATATAAATGAATGAGAAAATTAATTCTGGCGAAGCTACTTAATATAAATAAAATATTATATAATTATTGTAATTAAAAATAATAATTAGTTTCTCATGCATTTAAATATATAAATAAATAATTCATTCGCGATAAATTTAAATAAAATATTACATCTTATTATTATACAAACAAAGATTAATTTTATTATTCATTTATATATAAAAAATGAATGAAAAAATGATTGTGATGCAAAAATAAGTAAATAAATGCTCGATAAATTGAAGTAAAATATTATTTGACAAACAAAGACTAATTTTCTCATTAATTTATATTTAGAAAAATTGAAATAAAATATATATTTATTGTTACAAAAAGTTAAATGACAAACATTAATTAAACGTGTTATATTAAAAAAAATATATATTATTTAATTTGTTTAACAAAGAAAAAAAAAATTGTCATTATATAAATAAAATTATATAAATACAATTAATAGAAAAATGATTGTTATAAAATAATTAAATTTCTAAATTCTAAATGAATTGAAGCAAAATAATGTTTACTTACTATAATATATACAAATATTATTTTTTCTCATTAATTTATATATAAAGAATTCATAAGAAAATTGTAACTAAACTAGTTCTTGGTAAATTAAAAAAAAATACTTTATTTTATTATAAAATCAAAGTAAATATTTTTTATACATTTTTTCCATTAATTTAAATGAGATAAACAAATTTTTTTTATTGTTTAATGTATAAGTAATATAATTTTCACTATTTATCGTTTTCTATAGATCTTTTGCCGTTGGGCCAATTATTCTCTCACAACATGATATTTTCACAATACATAAACCTGAATCAGTCCAACGAGCGCTTGCTTAACTTTAGCAAGGCATATTTCGATAGTGAATTAAACAAATTGGGTGTGTTTTTAGACTTGAACTGTGAGCAGAGCAATTTTATAACAAATCAGGTAAGTTAATAGAATGATAGTATAATATATGTACAAGATTATATAAAATTTTAAAAAATATATAAACTAAACATACTCATATATACTTAATGGAGTAAGATATTAAAAACAAAAAAAAAATATTAAAAGAAATATATATTTTTTACATACAACTATTTACAGTCCAGTCAAGCCCAGCTCTATACGCAAGACTTTCATTGGCTGATCTACGATAAAGCAGGCAATATGACTCGCTTTGAGGAACTCTTTGCGCGTGCCAATCTAAGCATCAATGCAGATGTGACCTATGTGAAAGAAGAGAAATACTCCAAGCATGATAGCCTCTTTACGCTCTACGATGTCTACAATCCAGGCAGCCATTTGGGAGGTCAGCTCAATATAACAATAGATCAGAGCATCAACTGCAATCGAACCCAATGTGAGCTCAAGCATTATTTGAGTGAATTATACAAACGACCCAGACTGCAGCAGCGCATGGATTTGAGCGGAGTTACCTTCCGACAAGTTGCCTTGGTAAGCAGAATTTAGAGAGCAAATCAGGCAACGTTTTTAATCCAACTGACTTGCTGTAGGTGACCGTAAAGCCATTGAGCCTGGGCGAGCAGATGCTGCTCGCTTTTTTGAATAGCGAGGAGAACGTGCACATGGATTGGACCTCACGCGTGGGCTATCGCCAAAATTTGCATCTACAGGAGCTGCTGAGATTCAAGTAAGTCTCATAAACATGTGGATAAGTCAAGTACTTGATGTCCATCTACCATTCGCTGACAGCGTAACCTACATTTGGCGAAATCAGTGGAGCATAAATGATACCCAGGGCGGCGCCTTGGGTGTGGTGATCGACGGGAATGCCGAGCTGTCGACGTCGGCATTTGTGATCTCAGGTCAGCGGCTGCGCTACATCTTTCCCACCATGGAAGTTAGCCAATTTCGCTCGATTTGCATTTTTCGCACTCCACACAATGCCGGCATCAAGGCGGGCGTCTTTCTGGAGCCGTTCAAGCTCAGTGTTTGGCTAGTGTTCGTCGCTATACTGATCCTGGCCGGCATGATGCTGTGGCTAACCTTTCGACTGGAGCACCGTTGGATGCAGCACTGTATGCAGTATATGCCCTCGCTGTTGAGCAGTTTGTTGATTAGCTTTGGCGCCGCCTGCATTCAGGGCTCTCATCTGATACCCAGCTCGACGGGCGGCCGTCTGGCGTTCATAGCACTCATGATGACCTCATTCCTAATGTACAACTATTACACATCGATTGTGGTGTCCACGTTATTGGGCTCGCCGGTTCGTTCCAATATTAAAACCATGCAGCAGCTGGCCGACAGCTCTTTGGATGTGGGCTTCGAAACAATACCCTTCACCAGAGTATATTTAAATGTGAGTGGAATCCGCAAAAGCTGGACTCTCCCCAATGAATTCCTTTGCAGACCTCGCCCCGTGCCGATATCCGAGCCTTGGTCAAGCACAAGGTGGACGGACATGATCCCAAAAAAATCTGGATGTCAGTCGATGAGGGTGTGCTGCGAGCCCGTGATCAGCCGGGATTCGTTTTCGTCTCGGAAGCCTCGAGTCTATACACCTCAATCGAAAAGTTTTATTTGCCGCACGAGATATGCGAGCTAAATGAAATAATGTTCCGCCCGGAGAGCAATGTCTACACGGTAGTGCACAAGAAATCCACTTACAAGGAGCTGCTGAAGCAAATCCAAGTGCGCATGCTGGAGACGGGCATCACGCAAAAGCATAAGCTCTTCTATACCAAGGCCAAGCTGCACTGCTTCGCCAACAATTATGTCATCAATGTGGGCATGGAATACGCAGCGCCGCTCTTTATAGGCCTGCTGCTCTCCTACTTTGCCTCGATGATTACCCTAATACTGGAACTAGGCTGGGCTTACGTCGGCAGACGACAATCGCAGCGTTTGCCCACTGCGGAATAATTAATAAAAGCACATTCAACTTTAGCCAGGTAAGTTCATCTAGCGCAACCTATCAATAATTTATAACTGCTCTATTAAGATTTCACGGAGCTGTCACCAGCTGTCAGCTGCCCTTTGATAGAAATTTATTAAGTATGCATTATGCAGGCATATAAATAGGCGGATTATTATTGGGTGGCGGCATTATTAGCTAAGCTGTTTGGTTCTAGCGCCATGTTTCTATCTGAATTTATTTTATATTATTTTTTGCATATTGCAAAATTAAATAATATACTAATTTTGCATTGTTGGACAGCTGATTGTGAGTTGACTATTTGTATTTTTAAGTAATTATTAATATAATTATTTATTATAGCACTTTTGCACATTGCACATTTAGCCAGCAATGAAATGCTGTACACCCAATATATTAACCTTAACTACACGCACTTACTAACGGAGCGCTTAAGGAATAATCTCTTGGAACACAAACTCGTCAAGCTGGGAATTTTTCTGGATATTAATTGTCGAGGCAGTGCGAAAGTCTTGTCTAAGGTGAGCATTCTCTTGAATAATTATTTAAAATAAAACCAGACAAGCAGCATTATTAAATTCTCAGACTTCACTTAACTCTCAATCAAATTTGTGCTTAAAGTAAAAGGGATAAGAGAGAAAGAAGTCAAGGAGACTAATAGAGAAAAATTTGAAGACATCTTAATATATTTGCTGTACATATATTATTAAGTCATATATTAAAAGTATTTTATATTATATATTATTATTATTTATATTTGAAAACATAAAATGTTTGCTTTACAAATATTATAAAGTCATATATTATAAATATTTTATATTATATATTTCTATTTTTATTTAGATTTGTAAACATCTTAATATATTTGCTTTACATATATTATTAATTCATATGTTAAAAGTATTTTATATTATATATTATTATTATTACTTATATCTGAAAACATAATATGTTTGCTTTACAAATATTAGAAAGTCATATATTATAAATATTTTATATTATATATTTCTAATATTATTTATTATTAATATTTAGATCTGCAAACATCTTAATATATTTGCTTTACATATACTAAACATATTTTACATTATTTATTATTATTATTATATATCTTTGAAAACATCTTAATATACTTGCTTTACATATATTCAACATTCATATTTGTATTATAAATATTTTATATTACTTCTCTCTATCCAGGCCAACGAGGAACACCTATTCAATGGACGCTATCACTGGCTTATCTACGATCAGAGCTTCAACTTGACTGAAGTGCATGAACGGTTTGAAGAGACGCAACTGTACATCGATACGGAATTGACTTATGTAGAGCCCAGCCCAGAACTCGATAGCTTTGTACTCTATGATCTGTATAACAAGGGCAAGCATCTCGGCGCAAAGCTAAACATGACCGTAGATCGGCAGATCAATTGCAATGATCAGCACTGTGAATTGAGTCGTTATTTGAGCGATCTTCATACGAGGAATCGTCTGCAGCACCGCCGATATCTGACTGGATTAACCCTGAGGACCAATGCTGTGGTATGTTGTTGCTTTCAAGATCTTTCAGATCACACATATTGACATATTTTTTAACAGGTAACTGCCGTTCCTGCCAATTCACCCGAATCGCAGATTAAGGACTTTCTCAGCCGGGAAGATGATATAAATAATGATTCATTTGCCAGATTAGGGTTTCAGACGCATCAAGTGTTCAAGGATATGCTAGATTGCAAGTGAGATTACGAATTATTTATTAAAGCCAAACCCGGAAACCGTTCTGTTTGCAGCTATACCTATATATTCCGTGATCGGTGGTCGGATTCGGAACTGACAGGAGGTCTCCTAGGAGACATACGCAACCAAAGCGTAGATATGACTGCAACCGGCTTTCTGTTCTCCAGTCGACGTGCTAAATACTTTAAAATGCTGTCCTGGTATTCAGCCTTTCGCTCCACGTGCATGTTCCTCAATCCCAAATCCTCTGCAGTCGAGCTACGCATTTCGGAGTTTCTGCAGCCCTTCAGTGCGACAGTTTGGTCTATATTTGGCTCTTTGCTGTTGATTGCTGGGCTTTTACTCTGGCTGACATTTCGTCTAGAGCGTCGACTAAATCACATAGACATCAGACCCTCGCTGCTCACCAGCTGCCTGCTGTCGTTTGGTGCCGCTTGCATTCAAGGCGCCTGGCTACTACCGCGCTCCACAGGCGGTCGCATGGTGTTCTATGCCGTAATGTTGTTATGCTTCCTCTTGTACAACTATTATACTTCGGTGGTGGTATCTACTCTGCTGGGAGATCCACCCAAATCGAACATACGAACGATCCAGCAGCTGGCGGATAGCAACCTCGAGGTATCCGTTCAGCCATTGATATATACCAAAGTCTATATAGAGGTAAGCTATTGGAATTTACTATTTAATCACTTATTATTTGAACTTTTTGCAGACATCAAGTTATCCCGATGTGCGTAGTCTGCACTTGAATAAGATTTTGAAAGCCAAGCGAGACAACATTTGGTTACCCCCCGATGAGGGTGTTAAAATGGTGCGCAACTTTCCCGGATTTGTCTATATTACCGAGGCATCCAGTTCATATGCTTATGTGCGCATGCACTTTCTGCCCCACGAGATTTGCGAACTCAATGAAATTCTTCTGCGGGACGAGACAAGTGCTCACACAGCGGTGGCCATTAACTCCAGCTATGCCGAACTGTTTAAGCTAAAGTAGGATAAAGTAAAGTGACTATTGGGAGATAATAATATTAATCTTGATATATTTCTAGCCATCTTCGCCTGCTGGAAACTGGAGTCCACTTCAAGCACTTTCGATATTGGGTTCGCAACAAGCTTCACTGCTACGACAGCAATAGGAGTGTGGTAGTGGGCATGGACACTGCCGGGCCACTGTTTCTGCTGCTGATCTGTGCCTATATACTGTGCCTGTTTGTTTTGGGTCTGGAGATATTGTTCCACAGGCGACAGCTACGAGCCGGCCGTCCATAAGGTAAAGCACTGAACTTGTGCAATTTCCAGAAACCTGTTTGAATAAAATAATCTTTAACTGTATTGCAGTAAATAACGATATGAATATGAAAATATTAATACTTAGGTAAGTTAATGTACAATCTCATTTGCAAAGCGTGCTTTGCTTCCTTGAAAATATAATACATTCTCATTGTTTATAATATGCTATATATTAAGTGATTTTGATTTAATAATTTCTTAAAGCACTTTTTCACTTTACACAATTAGAATTGAAATGCTGTACATTCACTATCTTAACCTTAATCTTGTCCAGCTAGGAATTTACATGAATACATATAAATACATACATATAAATTGTTATCAGAGTGGATAAGTTGTTTCTATTGTAAGTGTTCTTATAATTGCATTAATCTTAATTCTTATTTAATGTAAACGTGTATGTGTAAGCATTTATTCCAAGTCTTTCCTTAAAGAATTTCCTCTTAGTCTTCCTCTTTCCAAGTATTTCCTCTAATGCTTAGCTGAACGATCACACTTTTCACTTCACTTTACTGCACTGCACAACTGCCCCCTACCAGGCCTGGGCGACTGAAGAAATGCTGCAGCTGCTGCCCTTTATATAGGGCCACTTTCACTCAAATACTAAGTCGAGCACTAAGTGACCAATGGGAACACTCTCTGCTGCTGCAAGCATTACAGCCGCGTTTGCCTCTCTCTCTCTCTATGTCTCTGTCTCTCTCTCTCTCTATCTCTCTCTCTCCCTTTCTCTCTCCCTATCTCTCTCTTACCTCTGTCCCTATCTATCTATCTATCTACCTCTCTCTCTCTCTATCTCTCTCTCTCCCTCTCTCTCTCTCTACCTCTGTCCCTCTCTATCTATCTACCTCTCTCTCTCTCTCTATCTATCTATCTCCCTCTCTCTCTCTTTCTCTCTCTCTCTCTCTACCTGTGTCCCTCTCCATCTATCTACCTCTCTCTCTCTATCTATCTATCTCCCTCTCTCTCTCACTCTCTATCTGACTGTCTCTCTGTCTGTCTTTAAGTTAAGGTCGCCCTATATAAAGCGCAGCAGCTGCAGCATTTCTTCAGTCGTCTGGTGGAAGTCAGTTGTACAGTGCAGTAAAGTGCAGTAAAGTGCAGTAAAGTGAAGTGAAGTGTAGTGTGTGATCAATCAGCTAAGTATTAAAGACTTGTACAAAGCACTTTGAGGAAGCATTTAGATAAAATAGTTAGTGTAAAGACTTAATGTATAGTCTTAAAGGAAAAACTGAGAGAAAAGCCAGAAGAAGTACTTAGAATAATTACATAGCCTTTAGTAAGTAATAAAAAATCGAATTGAGTAAATTAAGTTGTCAGTTCAGTTTCCGCTCGTTTGAGTTCATTGATTGTATTAAGTTATAAACATATTGATTGTTCCTTTTATACATATATTTTATTCGCTTTCACCGGCTTATCTACGCGGACTGCATTGACAAAGTACTTGCAAGTATTGGAGTATAGCTTACAACTTTCCCGGACTCGTCTCTGTTACCTAGGTATCTACTCCATATGCATTTGTGCTGTGGAGATTTTCGAACTGAATTAATTTTTTTACGATACGAGACAAACGCCATGGTTGTTAATAACTCCAGCTATCGCGAATTGTTTAGACTAAAGTAGGTCATAGCATATGGAGTACTCTGTGCAAGCTGGAAACTGGAGTTCATTTCAAGCGCTTTCGATATTGGATTCGCAACAAGCTATGGAAATATTGTCATGGGCATGGACTCTGCCGTTGCACTGTTTCTGCTGTTGATATGAGCCTAGGTCGTGTGTGTGTTTGTTTTGGGTCTGGTTTGGCTTTGGCTTTAGTTTTGGTTGCACAGACGACAGCAAGGAAAGTGCTCCTAATGGCCCATCATATTTACCTTGTTGAGTGTGCAATTTGTGTAAACAAATTGACGAGCAGATGACAGGACGCAGGACAGCTAAATTGCCCGAGAGGAGACTATAAAAAGCGCAGCCCGAATCTGTCGCCAAGTCAATAACAAAATGCAGCTGTTGCAATTGGCCAACTTTGTGCTGCAGAATTTGCTGCAGTCGCGCATAAGCTTCATCATTTTCTTTCACTGCTGGGCAAACAATGAGAGTGCGCTACAATTGGTTAACTCTATTTATACTAATTCAATTTAATATTTTTGTACTCTTTGCAGCCTTGCAGTTCGCACAACAAATTCACCAACCTCATCAGCAGCCCATCTATTATCAGTTTGCCCATCTGAGTGACTGGAACTGGGAGCACCTGGAGCAACGTTATTTGGATCACGCACAGCCCACGCTGGCCATTTATGTGGACTTGAAGTGCATGCGAAGCAGGAGTCTTTTAGCAGAGGCCAGTCGAACTCGGCTCTTTAATCAGCACTACCATTGGGTGCTGCACGGCAGCTCGGAGGCTTTCAGCTTTTATGAATTCTTCAGGCGCACAAACATTTCCATAGATGCGGACGTGGACTATGTGAAGCAGCATGTGCCAGACAGTGGAGATGGCGGAGCTGTTGTCTACACGGTGTATGATGTCTACAGCAATGGCAATCACATTGGCGGGCAGCTGAATATGACGGTGAACTATGAGCTCAGCTGCAATCGGAGCAGCTGCGATGCCATTCGCTATCTGAGCTCGTTGCATTTGCGCTCCAAGTACGGCAATCGGGAGCAGCTGAGGGATGTGGTGCTGCGCGTGGCTACGGTGGTGACACAGCGACCCATTAGCTGGCCGACGGAGCAGCTGCTGCAGTTCCTCAACGAAATCAACGACACGCACATCGATGGTATAGCGCGCTTTGGCTTTCAGTTGAGTCTCATACTCAGGGATCTGCTGCAGTGCGGGTAAGAGTTCTCGACGAATATCTCTCTGTTTATCTGGAATTTCTATTCTTTCAGCATGAATTTCACATTCAAGGATCGTTGGAGCTACGGCGACTACAATGGCGGCTCTGTGGGCGCTGTGGTCGACGGAACGGCCGATATTGGCTCGGCGCCCTGCCTGGCCACGCCGGGCAGACTCCATCTCTTGTCGGCCATCATTGAGACGGGCTACTTTCGATCGATCTGCCTGTTCCGCACGCCTCACAACGCCGGCATCCGGGGCGACGTCTTTCTGCAGCCCTTCAGCGCCCTGGTTTGGTTCCTCTTTGCCGGCATCCTGCTGCTGATCGCTCTAATGCTCTGGCTCGCATTCTACATGGAGTCGAGGCGCATGCATCGCAGCTGGCGCTTGGAGTTTGTGCCCTCGCTGCTGAGCACCTGTCTGATTAGCTTCGGTGCTGCGTGCAGCCAAAGCTCGGCCCTGACTCCGCGCTCCACGGGCGGACGCTTGGCGTACTTTGCGCTGTTCCTGATTAGTTTCATAATGTACAACTATTATACGTCTGTGGTGGTCTCCTCGCTCTTGAGCTCACCTGTCAAATCGAAGATCCAGACGGTGCAGCAGCTGGCTGAGAGCTCGCTAACAGTTGGACTTGAGCCGCTGTCATTTACGAAGAGTTATCTAAATGTGAGCATGATATAAAGATATACTAAATTTGCTTATTAAACTCCATTCTCTTAAGTACACGCAACGCCCAGAGATTCACTTGCTTAGCAAGCGCAAAATCGAGCCACAGTCGCACAATCCGGAGCTCTGGCTGCCCGCCAAGCAGGGCATTCTACGTGTGCGCGACAGACCCGGCTATGTGTTTATCTTTGAGGCCTCCTCGGGCTACGTGTATGTGGAGCGCTACTATACCCAGCAAGAGATCTGCGATCTCAACGAGATACTCTTTCGACCCGAACTGCTGCTCTACACCCACCTGCATCGCAATTCCAGCTACAAGGAACTCGTACGCCTAAGGTAAATTATAAATAAATGAATATACATATATGCATATATATAAAGTGTATAATATAGATTGCTGCGCGTTTTGGAGACTGGCATCTATCGCAAGCATCGCAATTGGTGGGCCCGCATGAAGCTGCACTGCTACTCGCAGAACTTTGTCATTACCGTGGGCATGGAATACGTGGCTCCGCTCTTCTTCATGCTGCTCTGCGGCTACCTCTTGGTGCTGCTCCTGCTGCTGCTCGAACTGGCCTGGCAGCGTTACGTGCAGCGCTCAGATTAAGCTTTAAGGGCGCACCTTGCACCTCTCACGAATGTAAAACGCTTTAAGCTGTTATGCAAAATAATATTAAAAAATAAAAATAGTATAAAAAGTGTAGGTAAAACACTTTCCGTTAACTTTTCGCCTCATCCAACGACTGTGGAATTATGCAGCAATGCAACGACCCGTTGTCTCCTCGCTTCCTGTTGTCGTCGACCCATGCAATTGCCGCACGCCTCGTTGACCGGACCACGTTTTTGTGTTTTCATGCGATTCCCGTATTTGCATTAAAAAGTTTCTTGTTTGGCCAATGACTTTTTTCCAGCCACATTCTATTCTATTTGCATTTGCACCACGGCCCACAGTCCATTGTTAACTGTTCGTGCGTGTGGCCGGAGATAAACATAAGCCTGAAGCATTAAATAGTTATCTGAATTCGGCAGGAATGCCTCCTCCTTAAAGAGAGAATCTATCTGGAGGGCATCTATCGTCTCATCGCTGATTATTGTGCTGCAGCGTAATCAATCATTCGATACATTTATTTCGCTTTCGATTTTGTCATCTGATTCATGTGGACTTTGATGTTTATGACCTGCGGGCTCTGCTTGTCGCAATTTATTCTGCGGCACTATCAAAAAAACTGCGTGGCAAATTGATGGCTAACCGCAAAAACATTGCCAGCAATTAATAACAATTATGGCATTTGGTAAATAAATAGACAAGGCCAAAATTTGATTTTATAAACATAAAAGTTGGCTAAAATGAACTGGAAAATATTCAATAAATTAAGTTAGCGTTTATCCTCATTTTGCACTGCTTCGGGACCTTTTGTGTATGACAAATTACTGCCAGGCTGACAAATTGCCATCTCAATCTTGTTGTCAACAGGCTGTTTAAGTT